TTTAAATTTAAATTTCTTTAAATGATATTTGACAATTTAAACAAAATTAATGATGCAGTGTGGTGTTATGGTATATGTATAATTAAACAATAGCAAGAAGGTTAAATGGGAAGAAGCAGAAGCATATACTAATAAGGTTTTTTATAATACATGTGGCATGGTACTCATTACAGACAATGATAAGTAAATACATGCTATGATCTTCAACCAAACCTTATTGAAAGTAACAGAACAAAGAGCATAGCAAATAAGTTGAGAAAGGCGAGATCATTTTGCAAAGAAAAGGTATACTAAAGCTGATGTTCATCGAAATAAAGTGAGAGTAGCCCTTTTAAATGTCAAACAATGTAGATATCAGAGAGTTCAGGGAAGGAAAAGTCATTTTACTACAAATGTGTGAAAAAACCAAGATATACAATCCTAAAAATGTTATGTACCTAAAGCCAGAGTTTAAAGAGGCATGATGTCAAACTGAGAAAATTGCGAGGAGTGCACAAATCTATAATTGTAGTGGAGTAGTTTGCTCCCCATCTCTTGATATACAATAAAACAAGCAGAAAGTAGTAAAGAAATAGTAGACTCAAAATCACGATCAACCAAAGTTGACATAATTAGCACTAATAGAGCATTCCATCCTGTACTATGGTAACACAACACACCAATGGTTAGGTTGGTACCTATGATCTAATCCTCTCTAGGAATGCTGTCATAGACACCTAGAGAAAAGGCATCTCTCAATTCAAACAAGTGGACAGTGAAGATTGGCCACCACAGTCAGAATCCAATAGGCTATTTGATCCCACTATTGCTCAGCATTGAACTATTGGGTATACCCTACCAGTAATGCAAGAAAGGAAAAAAAGAAGGCAAACAAGTTGTAAGAGAAATAAAACATCATTTGCAGATATAATTAGTGTAAGCATTGCAGTTCGGATGGAAAGGTATCCTGACAGCTGGAAGCCAAGGAATACCACAAAGTCACACCACACAACAAACCTCACACAAGAGATTTATTGGGAGGGAAAAAAAAAAAAAACAGGAGGGTGGCTGCCTCTACTCTAGCAAGAAACCGCAACAAACAGAACAGGATAGAGGGCTTATATAGAACTTCTTGGGAAAAGGGTGAAACTTTTTCATGTCCAAAGGTTGGGCTTTTTGCTCTGTAGGGTGGGGCCAAGGGCCAGCAGTTAGGGCAGTTAGAGTACTTTGTGGGTGGAACCTGGCAGTTAGAGGTTCTCAGGGGAGGGGCCTGGCCCCTTGAGTGGCTTGAGAGGCTTACAATTAGTATACTTAGGGCTGCTATAACAAAATATTATATATTGAATAAGTTTTACAAACACAAAGTTTTTTCATTGTCTAAGATCCTGAGACATTCCAGCTCAAGGCACCATCTGGTATAGTGTTGGACTACTTTGTACTTCTTACAATCTGTTTTCTTAATGTATTAGCTCATCATGAGGGGGCCATGCAGTCTCTCATGCTACTCCATATGGAGTATCCCATTCATGAGGGTTCCAAAGTCCTTTTTACCTAGTTACCCCCGAAAGAGTTCTCACCTCCTAATTCTATCACACTAGATTTTTGAAGATACCATCACTTAGACCACAGTGAATATAGATACAAAATAACAGAAAAATTTAAAAGTAAATAAAACTACTTATAATAGCATTATGCTGTTGACTAAAGCTAGATTGGGCAGAAGTGTAAGACCCATTTACTGAAAACTGTGAAGCTTGCTAAAGTCATACATTAAGGCTTGTTAAGGTTTGAATCTGAAATTTCCCAGATGGGTCATGTTTTGAATACTTGTTCCATATCTGTTGGCACTAATTTGAAAGGTTCCAGAATCTTCAGAAAGTAGGAACTAGTTGGTTCAAGCAGGTCATAAGGGTGCAGATCTTTGAAGATACACTAAGTCCCTGGTTACTGTCATGCTCTGTGTCTCACAATCCTTCAGGATATACAAAGCATTTGCTACATGCTCCGGCCACTGTGAACTATGCTGCTTTGCAATGCCATCCCCTTCGCCATGAAACACTAGCTACCATTAGAGACTGTGAGTCAAAAGCAACCTTGCCCCTCTTCCATTGCTTCTGCAGGTATGGTGGCCACAGTGTTATGGAAGTGGCTGGCTCTGGGATTTACAAAGGAGAAAGCCTTGCTAATTTTCCTCAACTACCTAAAATGTTTTTATTAGCTTATGAATTCATAGCTGCAAAGAGAAGGAAAATGTGGTTTATATTTTTCAGCACCATAAAAATTTATTCTAGAAAGGAATCTCCAATGCATTTTATGTGAAAATGTTTCAAATTAATGTTTAACTCAGAAAGATTTGTTCTTTCAATATAGATTGTGTGCTTAACAGCTGTCAGTCTGTTTTATACTGGGTAAAGAAGAGGTGCAGTGGTCATATCATGGAACTATTATCAAATGGAAATAGAAAATAAAAACATAAAATAACCTAGACATTATACTCAGTGCTATATAAATCATAAAAAAAATACAAGAAATAGGAGTCTGCTATTGAGATAGTGGGGTCATAAAAAGCTCACATGGGTTTTGGGACCATAAACAAAGTAGGAAGAACAAATAAACAGGGGAAAGAGAACAGCAACTGGGAAAGCTCTGGCTAGGCCAGCAGAGAGTGGAGGGAGAAGTTCTATACATCCCAAGAACCAAGAGATCAAATCTGACTAGAGTTTAGGGAGAGCGAAGAAAGGGTAAAGACAGCTTAATATAAAAGAAGTAGGCAGAGGCCAGATTATGTAGACCATGGAGGGACTGGGATTTTATTCAAAGTGAAGGAGGGAGCTATTTGACATGTTTTTAAAATTACCACTGTGGCGGGGGGGGGGGATTTGTGGCTGTGTGTATGTAGGAGGATATGTGTGTGAGATGTGTGTAGGAGGGTGTGTGTGTGTGTGTGTGTGCAGCACTCTCTATATAGTTGGTTCTCTCCTTTCACTTTTATGTGGAGTACCAGGAATTCAACTGGTGTTATCGGTCATCCACATCAAGTACTTTGACCTCCTGAGCCAGCCAGCCAGCCCCATTTTATAAATAGCTAGCTTACAAACACAATGAGATCATATATATATATATATATATATATATATATATATATATATATATATATAAACTTATTTACTTATTTTTTAACAGTGGATCTCACATTGAAGCCAGAATGGTCTGTAAATCACTGTGTAACCCAGGCTGCCTTCAAACTCATGCCATAGCCTCTTGAGTGCTGGAATTACAGGGGTGAAACACCATATCTGATTTTTGGTTTTAGAAGAACACCAACTACTGTAGTGGAGAATCAAAAGGAGATAAAATAAATGTAACAAACACATGAACATGATGAATTATATATGAAACTTTTATTTAAACACATAAATGTATATTACAAATCTTAAAAGAATACAAAAAGAGAATATTACAATATATAGCCACTCAAGATTGAGGTTCTTACATATAACTGGAAGTAAACTAGTTAAGAGCCTGAAAAGAACAGACCATATGATGATTTTAAAAACACAGCCTACTCCTCTGAAAAACAAGGAAGCCTGTTGTGTGTGTGTGTATGTGTGTGTGTGTAAACAATAACACCCTTGGTGTATATGGTGGTAGGACCCAAATTTTAACACAAATGGAGGGAAATTATCTTAAATCTAGCTGGCTTAACATGACTGAGACTTCCAGCAAAACTAATCTGTAGAAATAATCTCTTACCTCAAACAAAGAATTCCCACAGACCAAAGAATTTTCGAGCTAATCTCCTACTAAAATATCCTACACCACTTGACAGAAGCGGGCTCCTTGAGAGATCAACAGAACAACACGCAGGAGATTTAGAATGCTGTAAATGGGAAAATATAACTTTATACAGATGGATTTTCTTAGCTTTTATTATATCTTGCTGGTGCCTTGATTTGCATTTAGGGGCAAGGCAAATCTTTTAAAGTACCATAATTACCATCTCTATTAAAATTAGTGATAAATCTTGGAACTCATAGAAAGAAAATGAATGTATAAAATGTGACAGGGAGCACACAAATTGGTTTAACATTGTTATTGGGTTACTAGTAAATGGCTATTGTGTGCAGAGGACAAACTGAATAAATTACCTGGTTGTAATTACTACATAGTGTTCTGGAGTTAGTAAATGTATACCTGTAACATATTTAGTCTATGTTCAAAACTTGATTGAAATTAATCCTTTTGGGTGGCATTTTACCTTTTAAATGCAGTGAAAATAAACCCATCTTTAAGATAAACATGCGTGGTATCCTTGGATTTTGGGAAACCCATTCATCTTCAAAGTTCAAAGATTACATTTTTCTAATACTTACCTAAAATAAACTGCTCGTTTCAATTCTTGGTGCCATACTTTATTTTCTAGTATTTCAACTTGATTAAAAATATTGACTCTTACTTCAAAAAGTAATACTCTGAAATTTCAAGTATAGCCAAGATAATGTGGTTTGGTTGTTGTTAGCAAAAAATAGTGGAAAAAAAAAACTTTAAAGTGGAGTAATTGGTCTGTTTAAAAAAAAATCCTGACCTACACATACTTCGACAAGCATTGCAACCTTTAATCTTCTAAATATTACTTAAATTGAAGAAATGGAAGCTCAAGAAGTTAGCTTTAGGCAAACAAAAATTCATCAATTAGGAGTTGAGTGGTGTGATGAGGCTTGTGAAATGGAGGCCAGCAAAATCTCTGGGATACTGACACTCATTCATCATAGAAACAGGAAAACGAAACAGGAGGGAAGCAAGCGAAATCTGCAAGATGCTATTGTCTGGCATAGCACTGGCCATTCCTTACATCCCAGCCCTCTCGGTTTCTCCAGGATTTAGGCTCACAAGCAAAGGATGCTCCGGTACCCACCTCCCAGGCAACCCAGCCTGCAGGCTCCGCCCAGCTGACCACACAAGACCCGCCTCCCTTCCGGTCTCCTCTGCCACTGCCTCCCTGCCTGATGTCCTCCGCTCTTCCTCAACATTACTATTGCCCCCATTTCTCTCCAAGTGATGGGTCAGGGAGAACAAAGGCCCGGAACAGAGGCTTGTGAAGAGAGGTGAAAGCCCGGGCGGAGCGGTCCGCCGAGACGGCTCTTCAGGCATCGCTCGGGGCAGCCCCGTGGGCGCCCTCACCTGAAGTCCGAGGGGGCCTCGCGCCACCGCTCGGCGCGCTGATTGGCTGTTCGCCGTGCCACGGAAGGAACCCGGATGTGCCCGGGGAGCTGTGTTGGCAGTCCGCGAGCTGAGCTTTGGGCGCTCCTGGGGTCCCGAGGGCCGGGCGGATGGCTCAGGACTGGGCTGGCTTCTCTGAGGAAGAGCTGAGGAGACTAAAGCAGAATAAAGGTAACGAGTCTCTGCCCGCGGATGCGGAGTCTCGAGTCTGTGAAGGACAGGAGGCCTGGCGGGTGGGTGAGGGGGCGTGGGGCCTGGAGCTGCAAGTGGGCGGACAGGGATGGTGGGGCTCCCCAGGTGAGTGTCCTAGCCTCAGAGGCCAGAGAGGCGGGCTCGCAGGATTTCTCTCTAAAGATCCATTTTTTTCAGCGATTGAACATTTTCCTGTAGAAAGGAATGAGACTGGGGAGAGGAAGCGAATGGAGAGAGAACTACCCGAATGGCCACTACAGCGAGGATGAGAGCACGAAGAAATAGTTGCAGACTTGGGGTCAGGGTGGATGAAGAGGAGCATTGCATACACAGCATCATAATGGTGGTGAACTGACAAAAGCAGTTATTGGGGAAGGGGTCATGAGAGTGAATAAACGCGAAAGTGATTTTGATGATGCATCTGTATCGCCTTTACTTCTGGTTACCAGATGATTTTGCAGTTCTTTCCAGTTCTTGGGAGTCGGCAACCAGAAGGATTTTTAAGAGGTCCGCTTTGAAGCGCGCGCTTGTATTTGTGTGCACGGGCACAGTACACTCACATGTCTCTACTGCCTTCAGGGGCAGCCAGAATCTGGCGCCCTCCTCCTGGAGCTTTATTGAATGGGTTTGCTATATATGTTGCTTGTGATTACTTAAGTTTTCCGATACTTGATAGGAAACGATATAAAACACTCTTGGCCTGAGATTGAAATTTCACAGATATATGTGGTAATCTTGGTAGTGCCCGTTACTTCTGTGAGAACTTTCTGCCACTCGCGGCAACATTAAAAAAAATTGCTTTGTTTAGGGATAAAATTAAATAAATCCTTCCACGTGTATAGTTAGTGAGAAATGTGGATGTAGTGATCCACATTTTGCAACTTTTAGCCCAGACGTGAGAATTATCCAGGGCTGACAAGTGCAAAAGGGAGTAAATTACTAACATGTGATCAGTGTACTTTATATACATTGGGAAAAATTGGGCTGGTCCAGGGGTCTTTTAAAAACTGTATCATAAGTTTATACTATCAGGTGTGTCCGGGTGCTTTTGTCCGGCTGGATGCCTTCAGATTCTTTGGTTATGTGATTTCATTCTCAGTTCACATACCTGTATGTACAGAGTACAGGTGACTTGTTTCTGATTGGACTTTCAAGTCCTGGGTATCAGCTTCTGAATTAGGTGTATTGTCTGGCCCAAGGGTCTCTTCCATCCTTGTCAAGAGGAATGCTAACCTGTCCTGCACCAAAATCCATTGCATTATAAATGTAAAGGTGAACAGGGCATCTTTGTCATCAGAGAGCTTGTAGATTAATGAGACAGACTGTAAAATCATGTGGTAATAGATATTACACAGTGGTAGCCATAGAGCAGCCTCATGGTAAGGATTTAATGGGCCCTGGGGCTGTTTTGTGGAGGTTAAATGTTGGCAAGTTAGTTAGCCAGGGCAAAGGTTTGATATGGGACTCTAATACATTTGTTAATGTATTTTAAAGTAATTCTGCAGTTTGGATTTGGTTATAATGTGATAAGGAACTAAATATCAAAGCCTGTCATTTGGTGGTAAAATGTGGATATAAAATCACTTATCTATGACTGCTGTGAGAACAGAGGAAACATCTTTGCATCTCTGTGTAGCCAAAGTGGAACAAAGTGATCAGTGTGAAAACACCAAGTCTTCTTCTACCTTGGGTTTCCCATTTTTAAAGCCCGCAGAAATTGAATCTTCATCACAGCTGTAAAGAATAAAGTTAAATATTCTGGGCAGATGTGATTGGTTGCCAACAAAAATAAGGACAGGGTGCTTTTGAAAGACTTGAGTGCACATGTAGTCAAGAATGTTCTTAGCCATCTTGTTTATAATATTCAAAAGTTAAAAACAAACCAATTGTCTGCTTACAGGTGAGAGGATAAATAATTTGTGCTCGTTAGTGAGATTCTATTGGCCACATTCATTGTTATAAATTACATAAATATGTGCAAAAGGAGCAAGTTGCAGCTGAGTAGATACAGTCTGATAGAGTTTATCTGAACAAAATTATGTGAATCAGGTGCATATTAAAATGTTATATCTGGGGCTGGAGAGATGGCTCAGAGGTTAAGAGCACTCACTGACTGCTCTTCCAGAGGTCCTGAGTTCAATTCCCAGCAACCACATGGTGGCTCACAACCATCTGTAATGAGATCTGGTGCCCTCTTCTGACCTGAAGTCATACATGCTGTATACATAATAAATAAATAAATCTTAAAAAAAAAAAAAAGATGTTATATCTGAAGAATATCAAAGGAATGAAGCACAGAATTCTGATTGGTAGAGAGGCAAGGGGATGTGATCAGGGAGGGAAAAATACGTACAGCAGTATTGGTAATTAAGAAATCGGGCTAAAACAGTTTAAACTGAAGCCAGAAAAAAACTTTAACATAGCCAGTTTAAAATAATGAGGGTTTATTTTTCAGTTTAGTGTCATGTATAACGTGAGTTGCCAGGTGAAGCTGATACACAGTCATTCCGCACTGACTTTTGATGCTGTCACATGGGAGTTATTTGGGGCAGGAAGAAAAGAAGATTGGAAATTGAACATAGGTAATTAAATGCTTTCACCAGCAAATAACTTTAATAAAAGTAAGTTGTAATTTTAGGGACTAGAATGTATCTGAAATGGGGGGGGTGTATGTCAACTACAGTCATTGACATCTTAAACTTAATTATTTTTAGTCATACAGATTGGAAGAGTGTATAACATACATACACACATATGCACTCATATGTATATATGTGTGTATATATGCATATGTATAAATGTACGTATAAATATGATCCGTGGTTGATTTCATACGTAAAAATTGGAAGAATGCAGTGCAACCATGCTCTGCCAGTTTTAAGATAAATATTTATTCCTGTGTGTTCTTTATTAGTCATTGGTTTATTTTATTTATGTATGTGTATGGGCCCTTTTGCCTTGGCCATAGCATGGGCATGGCAGTCAGAGAATGTCTTGTAGGATTCAGTTCACTCCTTCTACCATGTGGGTCCTAGGGACCAGAACTCCAGTCTTCAGGCTTGGTGAAAAGTGCCGATACCTGCTCAGCCATCTCACCCACTGCCTTTATTCTTGATGTCAGTATTCACTCTAGTTCCTTTGTTCTTATTTATTAATTTCCTTGCTAGTCTAAACATTTATACTCTGATACAAAAGCTTTTTAAAACAATTTTACCAAATTTCAGGGAATAGGAATTTGGTTAGAATTGCATTGAATCTTTGGAGGTATTTGATATCATATAATTAACCCACATAAGGTGGTATGTGATTCCATTTATTTATATCATTTATAATAGCTTGTAATAAATTTTAGGATTTTTCTCCCATATAGAATGTTTTCTGTTGTTAGAGTTTTCTTCCCTGAATGTGTGACCATTTCTGGTATTGTCTCTCTTTAATTATGTTATCAATTCTTGGGTAGTAGTGTGTGAATAATACAAACTAAAAGAAACAATAGAGATCTCAAAAACAAGGACTATAAATAGATGCTAGCCATCAACAACTAGCAGCACATTAAAAATCAAAAGCACAGTGAGGGACCACCTTATGCTCTCTTGATTGCCGGAAGTCAAAACATGAAACAACACATGTGTTAAAGTGGATTCTTACACACTGCTGGACGAAATGTGTTTTGGAAAGCAGTCTAACATCTAATGTTATACTTGATCACCCAGTACTTTGGAGGTAATATCCAAGGCAAAATTTAGTGCATAAGGAAGTGTAACAGACAGGTTCACAGAAGTGAAATCTGAAACCAACTTAAGTGTTCCTTGGGAAGAAGATGAGTAAACTCTGGTGTTGTCACTCTGTGGAATGATTCAGCACTTGAATAACTGTAACAGTGTCAATAGTGTAGTGAACATTGTCAATATGATACTTAGGAAAAAAACTGTTACAATATACTTTTTGTAAAATGAATACTTTTTAGAAATATTTGTAGACTGATAAGGAAATGATCAACATATGATTCAAGTGATATTGAAGACAGGGATGGGAGAGTAGGGCTTAAGTACAAGATATTGAGTAGATCTCACAAATGTAGCCTGTTGGCTAAATTACACACACATGAAAAAATATTTGGGGGCTGGAGAGAAGACTCAGCAGTTAAAGTGCTCCCACTGATCTTCCAAAGGATCCTGGTTCAGTTTCCAGCATCCACTTGGCAGCTCACAACCTTAAGTAGCTAAGGTTCCTTGGGATCTATCGGCCCCTTCTGGCTTCTCGGGTCACTGCATGTACATTCTGTACTTAGATGCAAAGAAAACACTTATACATAAAATAAAATCTTTAAAGAGATTTGACTTTCCAGGATTTTTTCTCTTTCTGCTTTTGATTATCCAACTTTAAAATGTTGATAGTAATGATAATTGTCAGTATTGTTTACAAAACTAACATCAGAATTGTCTACAAATCGAACATCAGTGTTGTCTACAAAACTCCCATCAGTGTTGTCTACAAAACTAACCTGTGGTTGTTGGCTTTGCTTTTTGATTTGTGTTGCTTTATGGTTCTGAGGATTGAACCCAGAGCCTTATAATGTTGCTTCCCCTCTGAGCTGCATCCTTAGCCTGGCCTTTAGCTGGAACATGCCACTGAAGATTAAAAGTTTCTTTCCACTGTAGCATAATCTAGATTTTAATGACTGATTGATAGAGTTCCCTGCATTTAAAACCCCAATTTGTATAAAACTGATATTTAGGAGCTGGGGCCAGAGCTAAGTGGTTGAGCACTTGCTTGGCATGTGCTAGGTCCTGGGTTCAGTCCAGGACCACAGAAAAAATACAAGTAGAAATATTTTTTAAGTACCTCTTTTTAATTGAAAATCCAAGTGTCTGGCTGTATTGACCGAAGTTGCTTTAATGACAACAGCTGACTAGAAGTGACTGGAGTTAGTCCTCATTTGCACTAGATCTCTGCTCCTTGGTGGGCCCTAGTTTTGATTATTTAGAGTTTCCAGTACATAGAACTTAAACAGCGTGTTCTATTTTTACATGTCCTGAATTGTTTGTTTATTGCTAGTGGAAAGTGAATCATTCTAAGTCTTATATCTATGCCTTGTAAAAATATAAAGTAAAATAGACATAGTTGAATTACAAAGGAACTATTAATTATTCAGTTAATGTTTACACAAAACAGCCTCAGTGATATTTTCTGATGATGTAAATACGAACAATAACCAACAATAAGTTTCTGTTGCAAGATAGAGGAGGGTACTTGGTTTCTGAGAAAGTTCGTGTGTTAGTTATTTTTCTTGTGGCTGTGATAAAAGCACCTGAAGGAAGAAGTGTGTTGGCTGACATTGGAGAGGACTGTCCATTGTGGTGGAGAGTCCTGGAGGCAGAGTTCAGGGGAAATGGCTTTGTCACCTCCAAAAACAGAGAACAAGAATGCCTGTGCGTCACTCACTTTCTCCTTTTTGTATACTCCAGGAGATCAACCCAGGGGATGGTGTCACTCACAATGGGTGGGTCATTCCACCTCCAGTAATCTTCTCAAGATAATCCTCCCCATGCACGCCCATAGCTCCAAGTGATTCTAAATCTCATCAAGTTGCTGATTCAACTTAACCAACACAGTCCACAGTTTTGATATGACCTCTGTCATCTTGAAAATCATTTTCCATGCATGTCTCATTCTTGACTTTCCTCCGGGGGTTACGTACAGCAGATAGTTACAACTAGTATGGCAGATGTCGAGTCCAGTGAACTAGACTGAAGCCAAGCTAATGACTGCAGCGTTTTCGGCTCCACTTTGGAAAGTTTAAGTTAATAAACCTGTACTTCAGAGGTCAGTGTGTAGAATTTAAACATCATAGTTGACAAGGTTTTTTGTTTGTTTGGTGTTTGTTTTCTTGTAGTGCTGGGGATTGAACACAGGGCTTTGTAAATTCTAGGCAAATGCTATACCACTGTGTGGCATGCCCAGTCTTAAAAGTCCTATATGTTCACTTGTAAGGAATAATAATTTTATACAGTGCAATTTTGTAGATCATATTAAATGTAGTATGAGAGTGAAATTCCCCAATTATCTGCCCTAAGGGTTTAATCTTGGTTCAAATATTTCTCCCAAAAGGAGCATTGTTATTTCATTTGTGCTTTAAAAAAAAAAAAAATCCCTATAATTGTTTTATCTTTCTCTGTTGCTTGCTTCAGGATGCTGTTAAAATTAGTTTGAATGCATCAATTAGAACTTATCTGGTCTGTGGTGAATATGCCTTTGATTGATCTGTAAGCTAAAACTGGTAGAAGTAGCATTGTTCTAAGATGTAAAGCTAAGGGAAGGGCATCACATTTGAAAACAGCCATTAGTTGTTTCTGCACAACAGGGAAAAGAATGAATGGAGCCAACAGTAACAATATTTCAGAGAATTCAGTTGGCTAACTATTTCATCAAAATTAGTCAGTTCTTTCATAGTCCTCAGGTTGAAATGAAAACTTGGCCTTGTGTTGCTCAGGCCTGCTTCAGTGAAATAGATTTCCTACAAAGATGAATTGAGAGATAGGCTGTCTTTTGTTAAATATTAATCGTATGAACAGAAGAACTGTTGAACCAGGAAAATGGTTGATTTTTTTTTTCCTGGGCTTTCAAAATAGAGGATAGGACCTCTCGAATGACAAAATGTAATGCCACTGCTTTATGTTTTTAGGGAAATTATCGTTATTTGCTGTTCACACAAGGACTCTTCATTTGCTCTCTTTTATGTAGATCTGTTTGAACCCCAGCGCCGTCTCCCTGTGAAAAAAACTCGACAGCAGCTTCAGCGAGAAAAAGCCCTTCTAGAGCAGAGCCAAAAACTTGGTCTTCAAGATGCATCAGCCTCATTACCTCCGGAGCAGCTGCTCTCTGCACCCACACAGAAAGTTACCAATCAGAAACTGCGTCCTTCACCGGCTGTCTCTAGTCCTCTCACACTCGCCTCTTCCACAGGCAATGGAAAGCCACAAGGTATTGAAAGTCAGCCACAGGAACCAGGACTTCAGAATTCCCAGGATGGTCACAGAAATGCCGAGGTTCTAACTCCAAAGCCAAATTGCAAAGTGGAGAAAAAGAAAATGGAATTGTTAGTAAGTCTATGAGACTTTTCATCTTTTTCCCCAGGGACTGGGAAGAAATATAGTTTGTTGATTTTTTTTTCTTTTGCCTAGAAATGAAATCAGTAAATTATTGAAAGGAATCAACCACCTAAATATATTATGAGCTAAATATTTTGTCTTGTCATTTTCTCTTTACAATAGTCTTATAATACATGCTTATTGTTTTCACCTTATAGAGGAGTTAGTTAGGACTTAGAGAAGATGTTGTTTTCTTAACACTAGACATATGGCACATTCCTGTAAGCCCGGCCCTTGTGCAAAGGGAGGAGCTCTCAAGCCTGACGCCAGAGTGATCTACAGAGTGAGTTCCAGGCTAACCTGAGCAGTATAGCAAGAACCTCTCTCAATTTTACACACACACACACACACACACACACAGAGAGAGAGAGAGAGAGAGAAAGAGAGAGAGAGAGAGAGAGAGAGAGAGAGAGAGAGAGAGAGGCGCGCAGGGGACTATCTTCCTAAAGCTAACATACACAGCCCGTAAGTAATAGAGTTGAGATATCTCTGTATTAGAATCTATATAGTTTAGCTCCACCTATATAGAGATTTCCATTTCCTAGCTTTTTAATTCCCAGTAATGGGAAGAAAAGATGGCATTTTGTTTTGTTTTGTTTTGTTTTGTTTTGTTTTGTTTTGTTTTGTTTTGTTTTGTTTTTGTTTTTCCTTTTCTGACTTTTTTCAAAGTATCTTATGTTTTCCCCAATATCAGATATAGTCCTCACCTCTGCTGATTTTGTGTCATGCGAGTCCTGCCTACCAGAGCTTTATGACATAATTCATTTTGATGAGATATATAAAATCACATGAATTAAGTTTGTTTGCTTGGTTTTTCGTTTGTTTTACAGCAGAGCCTTACTATATAGCTCAGGAAGGCTTTGAATTTGTGATTGAGATGGACAACTTAGATGAGATGTCATTAGGAATATTATTGGTTTTTAGATACTCAGGGACATCCGTGGGAGACAGTAATTCAAGGAACCATTGATTTTCAAAGGAAGAATCCTGATATGATGAGCATGGGAAAGGAGAGCCAGATCCTTCAGTGTTCTGTGATGACATCTTGGTTTTCTGAGCGACGCAAAGACTAAAGAACAGTAGAGAAATAAAAGGCAGCAAGGATAACAGGAATCCTGCTTCCTAGTGTAGCATCATACCAGAGCCCCAGGGGAAAATCTCCTGGTCAAGGTAGTGATTAGAGAAACACTGAGTGTCTGTGTGCAGTTTAGGAGGGAACCAGGTGAACCAGGCCTGTGGAGCGGAAACCATGAGAAATGGCTGGTGCCAACCATAAGGGGGACACTGTAAGGACAAACAAAGGGCAGGTTTAGAATGGTTGCTAGGTCTGTGGGTAAAGACATTGGATGGGCTGGATAACGCCAGCAGAAGGAAAGGCTTTGCTGCGACAGTATTTGTGTCGATAGCTTCATGACTATGGGAATATTCATGGGCCCGCTTTTAGAACTGGACATGTTAGAAGCTATAGTACATGCTTTCAGTATCTGATTTCTGTGTGAGTGTAGTCCCTTTACCTGAAGCTCAGACGACTACTCATTTAAAACTGTTGAAGAGTTGGAGATAAAGAACTCAGCAGGTTGCATTATATGTATTTCTACATACATATATGTGTATCTAATGATAAGGGCTGTCAACTTGAGGGGGGATATGGGAGGTGTTGGAGGAAAGGGAACGGGAAAGTGATGTAATTGTTTCAATTAAAAACCTATTTTAAATACAGAGTTGGAGAAAGGTGAAAGAAAAAAAGAAAAAATGTAGTAAACAAGCACTGGCTGTTACCTTAAGATGTTAAGGAAGTCCAGACCTTATTCATAGAGAAAATTCTAAAAGGTAGAACATGACATCAACCTCAGACCAATATACTTTGACTTCCATTTTACATATGTTACTATCCACACACACATTTCTTTGTAGTCCTAAAAGAGTGTCACAGTACTTGAGCTTCCAGTTTGTGGGTTTCTAGATTATCCACATATATAGATTTCAAAGGTCCAATTTATGGAAGCCTCTTTACTTCAGATCGTGGTCTTTGTTCTTATTAGAACAGAATAATGAACTGCAGATGGATTTCTTTTAAAGGGATTTTGAAAGAAAATATATGTAACCTGCCTGATTAAATTTTATGCATAGGAGATAGACTGGTAAGGTGTGGGGCTGGGTAATAGTCTTTTTCATAAATTCATTTTTGTGCCTTTTTTTTTTCCCCAGGCAAGAAAAATCTCGTTGGGAAGTCCTCCAACAGGAACAGCGACTAATGGAAGAGAAAAATAAACGTAAGAAAGCCCTTCTGGCTCAAGCCATTGCAGAAAGGTGAGGCATCTGGATCAGGGCTGTGACCCATAGTCATCTCTTAGAGCTTCTGTTTATTTTCCCATGCCTTACTCCATAAACCCATACTTCCATTGCAGCTCTTACAAGACAAATTGTGCTTGAAGTGATACTGAAGTTCTAGTTTCACCTTTTAGGGAGGAATTTTTTTAAGTAATGAATCATAATGTGTTTGTGGTGAGGGCTGCAAGAGAAGGGCTGTGGCATCAGTGTTAACTGTTACCACAGTCACGGGGCCCTCAGTGTGCGTGTGTGCGTGTGCGTGTGCGTGTGTGCGTGTGTGTGTGTGTGTGTGCGCGCGCGCGCGCGCGCGC